CCCAAGATAAAAGGAACAAGGGGAATAATCGACGAGGACATAAAATCGTGAATGAAAAAGCGATAACACAGTTATTCGATGTTGACTCCAACTTAAGCCACTACTGTGGCAAAAGATTTAAGAAGATATTTGTAGCATCAAGGGGATTCTTTCAAATGTCCAAGAAGATTGGATTCATTTTCCATGTTGACGGCTCAGAAGAATTGCCATTGGTTATAGAAGGGACAAGAGGAAAAATCAAGACAAGGGGGATGACTAATTTTGGGAATAGGAAATATCCCATACCCTTCTTCAACTATTCAACTTGCTCCTCGAAGCAAGGAATGGAATGAAGATGGTATAGAATGCCGTGTTAACAAAAAAGCAAGGGCAGGGCCAGAAAGTAAGAATTTTACCTGAGATTTTGAGCACCAGAGCTCGAAGCGACAACCATTAAGTGGAGAATTTCCATCTATTTGCTATCTCGTTCGCTACCTTAGGTCATAATTATGCAATCGGCCTAGCTAGAGTTCTTACTATAGTAGCACCCTATCTCATATTAGGGATAATCCTCGATCACACTAGATATTTCATAAGAGAAGAAAGATTGTTTCTGGTGGCCTCATATCTCCTACCTAATTTGAAGGCGGGTCAATGGGCATTAGATACATGATAACACTTGTGGTTTCGACGATTCACCTTTACTCTTGGGGTTCAGTACCCGCCTCTTGGTGTCCAACACCTAATGATGAGAGAATAAGTGGGAGACGAAGAGAGATAAGATGGTTGCTTAGCAGCGGAAGCTGGGGATCGAGAAGCAGAGGGAGAGCTTAAGCTTTAGAACTTGACTTGAAGAGTTGAGATAGCTAACAGAAGAAAGGACAAAGTTATTGGTAACTAGAAGAGGTCACTCAGCTTGCCAAGAGGGAAACACTCTTATTTTAAGTTCTTTCAAAGATTATTCCTTCTGGATCTACAAGCCCTAGAAATAGGAATAAATAAGTCTCATTCAGAATAGGTTGTTCTGGCTTATTAGGTCCCAAGACGAAAGATGCTATAGACTCATCCACATGGTACTTTAGCATGTGAAATCCTAGAATGGCACTTAGTTGGTTACTAAGGCATCGTCCTGGTGAGTCTTCCAAACACACAAGAACAATGTGTAGCAATTGAACTCAAGGGCCACCTCTGAGAGTGAGACATTGTATTGTGTCCATGTAACAATTGGATAGAAACGCTCAACTATAGCGCAATTGGTTCAAATTCTTTCATAAGCGAATTCTTTGGAATATTCCATTATTTTAGTAGCCACCGCTTCAGATCTAGCTTCTTTGCAATTTTTGGCTCCATATTCTGGGTGTGACAATACTTCTTCGTGAATCTCCGCTATTTGAATATGGAACCTAGAAGACTGGGTGACTTTATGGAATTAAAACCAAGGCGAGGCCCCTAGCCCTCTCTTTTCCTCCGCGTCATTCTCTTTCTCTTATCCCTCTCAACCCTGCAACATTACAATCGCGACAGAGCCGCCTTCTCTGACGTGTTTGTGCTGTCTCTGACCAAGGTAAGCCCTCCTAAAACCCCTAGATCATGTGTTGGTGTATGATTAGGGTAGTGTTAGGTGTTAATCACTGTGCATTTTCTTAATTTCAGAATCGTGGCCATTTGGCCACTTTTAGACACATTCTCCGGCCAACTCTGGCCATGTCACGGCTTCCAATGAGTATGTATCATTTTCTGGATTTCCGAACCGTGGCCATTTAGGTTCTTAAATCACTGAAATTGGTTGAGAATCAAGCTCGAAATGAGGTTTGGAAGTTGGCCCTTCCACCTGCAAAATTTGCAGGTTTGTGGAAAAAGTAATTACACATGTACTCGCGGCGCGTGGGTTGTGCGTGTGATTATGTTTTATATTTTGTTTTACAAATATTTTTTTATGATTGATTTAAATTGTTTTTATGAAATATTTATGGCTTACCCATTTATGGTTGATAAAATGGCATGTTTATAGAAATCACATTTATGGAATTTCTTATGATTTCGGATGACGAGATTTTAAATGCTAGGCTTACATTCACGAAAAAGCATGATTTCATGATTTTACGTTTTATGCATTATTTATGATTTATCGAATTATGTTTTACGAAACATTATGAATTATTGGATTTACGTGTATGATATATTACGAATTTAGGAATATGAATTGATGCTTTGAGCTTTTGAGCTCTAGTGATTTGATATGAGATTTTGAGATATGTTTTCGGTGCTTATTTAGTGGGTATTCATACAATACATACACACAACACGAGTATGTAGACGTCTATGGCCATACGACACATTTAAGAATATTTATGATATACTCCCAGCTTCACTGGCGAAACTAGTGTCGAACAGCTTCACTAGCCATGACTAGTGTCGGTGTTTTATGTTATGTATATATTTCTTCACTGGAGTAACTCAGAGTCGTACAGCTTCACCTTCGGGTGATTTGACTTACCACATTTCTTCACTGGTGTAACCCAGTGTCGTACAGCTTCACCTTTAGGTGATGGTTATGCCTTCGAGTACTATGATGCCCCTAGTTGAGTACATTATTGATGTGATTTACAGATGCTTGACAGATTTACCTTCGGACAACTATACTACCATTACTGAGCACTAGTTTACACAAACATGGTTTACGAATATTTTTTTATGGCATGCTAGAGTTTTTAGAAAACGTACTTTGTAGTACTATACGAGTTTTCAAAATAAGGGGTTACTATGTTCAGAAAGAAAATGGTTTTCTTATTATTAGTATTATTGTTATAAACTTTGGTCCACTCACCCATTGTTTTGCGCCCCATTCAGGATTTAGAATCGAGGCATATGATCCCGGCGTCAAGGCACTCCCGTATCGGTATCTTAGAGACCCACTTTCTTTGTAATCTCATTTATTTCATACTATGTCTTCCGTACTATTCTTGATTAGTTGTATGCTCTGAACACGTTCCCACATTTGCATATTCATTACAGTTAAATTCACATATTTTATTTACATTCTTTCTTTCTTCATAACTTGCATGTTAAAATGGCTGCGTCACCCTCAAGTGTCGGCCAGCAGATGCCCATCTTGGTGTTTGGAGGATATAGGGATCGAGGGGTGTCAAAAATGGCCATTTCACATGTCTCGAGAATAAAATACAATATTTGAAGTAATAGGTTGTAACATTTCTTCTGGTTATGTTTTAGTGTTGAACAATGTTCTTTATGTACTTTCTATGTGAAGGAATTTACTTTCTGCAGCTAAGTTTGTAAAAGATGGTTTTTCTTTCATTGGCGGTGACAATTGTATTCAGTTTTATTTGTAGAATCAAATATTATAATTTACTTGGTTTTACATTACTCAATGGAGATCTTTGGCAAGTCTAATGCACTTATTTTCTTGAGTGTTCGGATGTTGATACTTCAGCTCCTAAGAGATTGATTGCTAATGATGGTTCTTCTATGTATGGCATAGAAGATTAGGGCACATCTCAAAACAAAGGATGATGAGAATAATGAAAATTGGAGTGCTGCCAACCTTAAATTTCAATGATTTTGAGACTTGTGTTAAACTATTTTAAGGGTGAAACAACTATTTCCACTAAAAAAAGTAGTTCAACTAGAAGTAATAATCTTTTGGTAGTAATTCGCACTTGTTTATGGTCCATTTCCAAAAAGGACAACCTGTGGCAACTTTTACTTTGTACTCTTCATTGACTTCTCTAGATGCACTTACTTTATTTGATTTCTAAAAAATCTCAAGTGCTCAATTGTTTTAAAGTTTATAAGTTAGAAGTTGAAAAACAACTAGGGAAACAAATAAAAGTTGTAAGATCAAATAGAGGAGGTGAGCACTTTGGAAAGTATACAGAACTAGGGCAACAAAAGAGACTTTTTGCATTGTACTTACAACAAGAGGGGAATCATTGCTCAATATACAACTCCAAGGACACCATTTCAAAATGGTGTTGCGGAAAGAAGGAATATGACCCTGTAAGACATGGTTCGAAGCATATTTTCACAATCACAACTTCTAGAATTCTTATGGGGAGAGGCAATTAAAATAGCAAACTACTTACTTAATTGAGTGCTAAGTAAGGCAGTCTCCTTTACACCTTTTAAACTTTGGACAAGAAGAAAACCAAGCCTTGCACACCTACATAGTTGGGGATGTAAATGTGAAGCAAGACTATATAATCTACATCAAAAGAAACTAGACATGAGAACCACAAGCTGTTAATTTGTTAGATATCAAGAGAGATACAAGGGGTTTCGTTTTTACTGCCCTAATTCTCAAACAAGGTTGGTTGAAAGCGATAATGTCAAATTTGTTAAAGAGTATGAGTTATTATATTCTCATTCAAAGAATAGTTATGTATTTGGAGAAATGGAAATAAATGCTGACAGCAGTGTAGTAGTTTTGTCATTGCCTGCATCTATTATATCCAGTAGTTCCATTCACACAACCTCAAGTAAAGCCTCCTCAACCTAATGATCAGCATGTTCCCTCACTGAATAAAGTTCCAAGCGAATGTGGAGGTACAAAGAAGAAATCTCCCTTCTATCTTTGAGAGATGGTTTAACTTAGACATAATGACCAAGGAACTTGAGCTAAAATATTGGAGAACACCCATCACTCGGTACTTGAAAGACCTGTCTTCTCCCACAAGTAAGAAGATTAGGCAACAAGTAACTAAGTTTGTCATGTGGGACAAAACTTTAATAAAAAAGACTCCAGATGGACTCCTATTGAAATGCTCGGTCTTGGAAGAGTTAATGAGGGTAATGGCTGAAGTGCATGAAAGCATATGTAAAGCACATCAAGCTGGAACCAAGATGAGGTGGCTGCTAAGAAGGTATGGCTACTTTTAACTTAACATGGAAAAAGATTGTAAAGCTTATGCCAAAGGTTGTGAAGAATGTCAAAGGCACGGACCTCTACAACACATACCATTAGTACATTTGAATCCAAAAATTAAACCTTAGCATTTTAGAGGATGGGCAATGAACTTCATAGGGCAAATTTACCCAGCTTCCAGCAAGGGCACACCTTCATAATTGTGGCAACAGACTACTTTGCCAAATGGGTAGAAGCTTTAGTTGTGAAGACTATCAAAGTTGCTATGAAGAAATTTATTGAAACCAAGATCTTACACAGATATAGGGTGCCTGAGACGATTGTTACAAATCGAGGGCCATCTTTTATTTTGAAAGAAATGGAGGAATTTGCAAACAAGTTCAAGATAAGGATGATCCAGTCTAGTTCTTATTATCCCCAATCAAATGGTCAAGCAGAAGCTAGCAATAAGATTTTGGTAAACATTATTAAGAGAATGGCGGCAGATAGCCCAAAAGGATGGCATGAGAAGTTGGGAGATACTCTTTGTACTTACAGAACTTCAAAGAGAGCAAGAACTGGGACCACCCCTTATGCCTTAACCTTTGGGAAAGATGTTGTGCTTCCTATGGAAATCAATGTAAGTTCTGTGAGACTTCAGAACCAGTTTGGTATGCATAGTGAGGAATATATCCAGGCCATGTGTAAAGGGATTGAAGATCTAGATGTAGCTCGAATTAAAGCTCTAAAAAAGATCCAATAAGGGAAGGGAGTTGTTGCTTGAGCTTATAACAAGAAAGTGAAGTTGAAAACCTTCAAAGAATGAGATTTTGTATGGAAGGCAATTCTACCTTTGGGAGCTCAAGTTAGAGATTTTGGGAAGTGGAGTCCTACTTTGGAAGGTCATTTCACTATCAATCAAGTATTAGATAGAGAAAGGTACTACATGACAGATTTAGAAGAAAACATGCAAAGGCATCTAATCAATGCTAAGTTTTTAAAAAAAATATCACTTAACTTTGTGGGATGCCAAAGATTGTTACATAGATGAAGTTTGAACAGTGGCAAAAGTGTTGAAGCCTTTTTGTTTAAAACATGTAAAAGAAAATGGACAAGTCAAATTGGAGAAAATGGGATTTTTTATTCATAATGGAAAAGAGTTACAAAAATCCTAGCCTAACAAGTTCACATTCCTAGCTAATGCAGCTATCCTAGAGTGATAAGTCTGCATGATGGTAAAAATCTGGCCAGGTTCTTCAAGGACAATGTCGTTGTTGGCTAGTTGGGCCTCAAAGTCGTCCACTTCTTAGTTAACCTTCTTTACCTTTTCGATCTTCTTAGATGAAACCACCATAATGCGATCTTCCATAGCTGAGCCCTCATCTACTTGCTGCTTCAGAGAAGTTAAAGTTCGAATGTGCTTCTCCCTATAGCATTTCACCCGATTGGCTTGCCTCTCTGCCCGAAGGTGCTGATCCCTTATAACCCTTAATTCTCAAAGAATAAGAGAAAAGACTCGTATGGAACCTTTGACATTTGATGAGCTTGATACAACTCAATAAGTGCTTTCTTTGCTTATTCGAGAGCCTTGAGGCTGAGGGAGGCAGTGAAGTCCCTTTGCATCTACTCCTTGAAGACTTGGCGCAAATCTTGGAGATGTTGGGGGTTTAGAAGGGCATTTTGGAAACCTCAACTTGGTCCTGATTTGCCCAAACTCTCTGACTAGTTTGCACTAACCTTTGCGCGCTACGGATCAAAGATACTTGCCCGAGCCCTCACCAGAAGGTTGTTTTGAACAGAGAAATGAGTGAGTTAGTGGACCAGCTTATACTTAAACCAAAGTAAAAACAGAAGTGGGAATACTTGTATACCTGAACTGGACCTTGAGCTTTTAGGGGAGGAACTTCTTTTGTCACAACTGCCTTGGGAAAGACAAGTGGGCTGGCCCGAGAAGCAGATTGAGGAGTCTTCGGGCTAGTCACCTCTGAGATCACGGGTATCTTAGGGACTATAGACTCTCCAAAAGCTCGTGGTGGCTGGTTTGTGGCTTCAAGCACTTGAGAAAGAAGGAAACTTACTTAAGTGCTGTCATCCTCCACGAAGTGCAGCAACTCTCCAATTATTGGATTGAACTGAGAAGTGGGAGTCACCACTATGGCTAGAGGGTGAGTAGAAGAGATAAAGGCTGAGCTTTACCCAGCTAGAGGTATCGATGCCCCAACATTTGCCTATAAAATAATAAAGGTGGTTGTTAACTTTGAAACTGGGGAAAATCACAAACTTGACCTAGATTGAGCTAGAAATGTACATGTGAATGCTTGCCCCAAGAAGGGGAAAGATTCACCGATTGGATTGGAGGAGATGAAGGCTCGAGCTGGGAAATCCTTTCAGCTCTGGTATCCTATTTCAAGCAAACAAACAATAACAGAGAATTACTTAAAATGATTAAGGGAAGAAGAGTTCAAAATTGACTTAATTCTCAAGGTTTGGAGAATTTATACCTTCAACTCCTTAATGATGTTGTCAAGGACTTCTTTATCCTCTTGCTAGACTTCTGCGCCCAACTGTCATTCTTTGGGAGTGGAGGCAGGTTTCTCAGAGATTGAAGGCCCTTAATTACAAAGAAAGAAGTATGTTAGCTCAAAACTCAGAAAGGTCAAATTTGAAAACAAGAGAATTGAGACTAAGTTACTTACTGACAGGTTTTTGCTTCTTCCTACCTGCATCAACTGGAAGAGCAGAACAAAGTTTGGAGGCTTGAAAGGTTTATGACCTGGTCCTTTTCTTGGTGCGAGTTATCCTCAGGCCAGGCAAAGTAAGTTGAGCTCGGGGCCTTTCCTTAAACTCAGAATCTGAAGACTCCATAATGGTAGCCTTGCCCAACGATGAGCCCTTGTCTCTACTTCAGACCCAACCTCGGCCTTTGAATCCCCTAAAAACTCAAAGATGTCTCCAACATCTCTAGCAGTTTGGCTGGACCCTGCTCTTTACCTTGCTGCCTCAACAGCGACCTCTTGGAGAACCAAAGCATTTACAGCTTCTTCTTCTGGCTCGACTTCCATTTCTTTAGTGTTGCCTTAGGCTGCAAGACCAAAATAAGACTTAACGAATGATAGACTATGGAAGCATCACAAAGAGAAGCAAAAAAAAAAAAAGTAATAGGGTATACCTATAAGAATAAGCAATTCTTTTGGTTGATCGTCTCCTTCCAGTTCTCAAACTCCTCCTTCTTGAGGAGCAAGTTGAAGAAAACCTACCCGAAGAGACGATCGTGAGGCTCTCTGATGTCCCCATTATACTTCTTTGACCATTTGGCCTTCTACCAAGTGGCAAAGGAAAGGGTATATTCAAAATTCAAGGCCACGGGTTTGTGTGCTATTATGCTCATTACTTCCAAGCTACGCCGAGCTACCCAAAATGTCATGTCGGTGGGAGAGCATAGGTGATAGGAGGTTCCACAATGCATGAAGTCAAAGTAAGGCACTAGGATCGCCTGCCTAAATCCTAGTTGCCTATCACAAAAATTAGGGCGGTAGACTTCTAGCCTGCGTTCGTAGCCCGTGCTGTCACTGCACAATCCCCAAGCCAGGTCTTTTTGTTAGATGTAGCTTATGAATTTCTCCTTGCAATGGCTGATGGCATCCTCTCCAAATGCATCTTGGAAAGTCTGGTCCAAGAACCATAGGTACCTCCTAAGCATAGAGGCACCTGACTCCAATTATGCCCGAGTTCGACAAACTTTGAAGAAGTAAAGGTAACCGAGGATGGAGTGGTTCGGGACAAAAACCTCCGCCAGGATACAAGCTGAAGCCACTTCTTTATCGAACTTCAAGTTAGGCGTCCGAAATTCAAGGAAGTACCACTGAAGCCAGAGTTAAACCATCTAGGTAGGCTGGTTGAGGTTGGTCTCGAAAGGCTCACCCTTGGTCATCTCGTAAAAAATATGGTAGAGGTGTGCTAAAAGGAAGGGCCTGGTGGCTACATCATCGAAGAAAGGTAAGGCCTCCACCAAAGGGACCCATTCTAGCTTCACTCCCTTCGACTTATTTGGGAACACATGTTCGTTCAACCAATAGAGAAGGAAGTACATGTGTTCTTGAACCCTATCTACACTAGAGGAAGGCAGGCTGAATGTTTTCTTTCCAAAGAACATCCCATAACTCTTGAAGGTGGAGGAGTTATACTCTAGATGAGTAATGGACTCAGAAGCCTTTGAACCTTTAGCAGTTGGGCAAGAAGGTGAGGACCAATCATGTGTGATGTCCACACATCTGCCCGAGAGCCTTAAGCCGAAGACTTAAGCCATGTTAAGGACCGTAGGCAACATAAAACCCATTCTAAAGTTGAATGTGTTGGTCCCATTATTTCAGAAAATGAGAGATGTAACTGTGACCTTGAAGAGCATGATGAACTTGTAGATTCCATTAGCCACCCACTGCAACCAGGCCTCATCCTTCATTAGTGGAAAACACCTTTCTGAAATTGGACCATTTCAAAGCTGCGATGGGCTAGGGCAGTCTAAGCAGGCCCTAGTGAGTGTACCCCTCATTCTTCGAAACAAATCGACAAGTTCAGGCCAGCCCGAGGATGATGAAGGTCGTTGAGTCAGCGACGCATAGTAATAATCCCTTCACCAGACTTAAATACAGGGCGAAGTTTAGGTGCCATGATTGATTTTTAGAAGAGAAGTGAAGAACATTGAAGGTAGAAAGCAAGAAAGAGCTAGGAAAGCAAAAGGGTTCAAGAATTTTGGAAATTCTAGGAATTCAGAGGATAAAGATGGCTGGAAGTGTTGGCTGAGGAAATTTAAATGGGTTATATAACGGGCAGTTAGTTAACGTTGGAGATTATAGGTTAGTGCAAAGGTTTATTTGAAAATGGCTATTTAAGTGGTGCAAGTCCTGAGTTAAAACATGCATAATGTCTCGGTTGATTAAAGGGGGCACTATTTGGGTTAATATTTAAACATTGGGCTTTGTGATAAAGAGGCCCAAGGATGCCAAAGCAAATGGGAATTTGCTCGAAGCCAAGTCGACAGGCCTGAAGCTAAGTGAAGCTGTTTCAGCCGCATCATAGGCTATGTACCTATTATTGAAGTGATGGGTGACAGAGACCAACTCACCATCAGCTAAAAGCACCCTTTCAAGGGGAAGACAAGTAAATAAAGCAATGACTCACTATCGTCCGAGTAATCTCAGTTAAAGGCAATGCAAGAAAGCTCGGGCCAAATTGCCTATAAAAGGAGAAAGAGACACCAGAGACAAGGACACTCAACCAACCAATCAAAAGACATACAATATCTGCTCTCAAGCCAGTTCGTACCCAGAAAGCTGAAACTTGTCCAAATTAAGTCCGTTTAGCTATAATTCCCTTAGAAAAGCCATCTTTTTGTCTAGTGTAAAAGCTTTGCTACCTTCCCTTAGTGTTGTAGTATCGATTCCCTCAAGTAAAACCTATTTACTTTCCATCCCTTTCAACATACAATCTTCTATAAACCCAAAGAGAAGTGGATGCAAAAAGTTCAACCTTGCCCGAGTCTCTTTGTTTGTACTTTCATTTAGTAGATATGTCGCTTAATGTACTTTCCAACATGTATCCAAGTTATTTTAAACAGTTTTCTACTTAAGAGGCTCATTTGCATTCGAATTTGGTTAAGTTAATAAACCTAGTTTCATTAAAAGCAAACTATGATCAAAGAAGTGGTTGAAAGGGGCTTGAACTCCCTTTGTTTTGGACATACAAGATTATGAACTAAAAGTCCTT